ACACGGGAGTCACCCGTGGGCCACATTTGGCCCACGGGCCTTGTATTTGACACGTCCCTTACTTTGTAAAGCAATGCAAGATTTCACTAGTTTTACTTCAGTATTACTATCATGATCAATCAGACGCCGCTCAACCAAACATCTCCCCTCCCAAAACAGAAACTAAAGCTAAAAAGTGGGAAACCAATATTGGATGTTAATATCGGCCCAGTTTTAATTATGGGACCAGTAATGATATTCTAAAAAATGACCAATATCAGCCGAAACCGATATTAATGTGAATATATCGTGCATCCCTAAAACTAATATGGGAAAATGTTGAAAAGTTGCTCTGGTTTGGTGGTGAATCCTTTTATGTTTGGTTTTCCCTCGTTTACCCTTTGCTCCGCCCCCCTCCCCCCCACAGACCGCTCCGGCCTGACCTGCATGGACAAGATCGAGAAGTGCCAGGAGACCTACCTGCTGGCCTTCGAGCACTACATCAACTACCGCAAGCACAACATTCCCCACTTCTGGCCCAAGCTCCTGATGAAGGTGACGGACCTGCGCATGATCGGGGCGTGCCACGCCAGCCGCTTCCTTCACATGAAGGTGGAGTGTCCCAACGAACTCTTYCCCCCGCTCTTCCTCGAGGTCTTCGAGGACCAGGAGGTGTGACGAGAAACGATAAGAAGAAGAAGAATGGAGGAAGCTTGGGCCGAGCCGCGGAGTCTGGAGGGAGAGCCTCGTCGGCAGGAATCTGCGTTCACCGTTTGTGGTTTCAAAACTGGAACGGACCGAGAGGAAGAACACACCAGCAACAGGAGGGAGGAGACAAGGATTTAGTTTTTTTTTTTTTTTTGTGAACACCCTCTGCTCCGCCTCTTTCTCCTCCTGATACCCACTCCTGTTTAAATATCTGTGTGGGGGCCCTTCTGTCTAAGCATGATGTCTTATCCAGTAAGAGTTGTAGCCATTCGCCAAGACACACACACACACACACACACACACACAAAGCCTCAGCTTGTTTCACCTCACGTCTTCAGGGCAGCGCTCTTGGTTTTGTTGCAGTGGTCAGACGAGTTTGAACCCCCCCACGTCTCCGTCACCTCTCAGTATTTTCCKTCTGAATAAGTGTTAAAGCGGTCGCTCGCACGAGGTGGACGGCGTCGTCTCTCGCGGTCCTGTGGGCGATCACCGGACGCTTCGGGGGCCGAGGTTTTCAGCAAACACRCATTTCTCTCTGGTTCGCCGTGGGCCAACGGAGCAAAGCTGTCAGTTACTCCACTCAATCTGAGCCGTTACTGTTCTCGTCTCCTGGAGCTGCTGCTTCTTCTCAGATCCACTCAAACAGGTGCTATTAAAACTTAAAAACAAACCAAGCTACTCCGGTTTGATCAAACTGTGCTGTCTGCCTTTAAGAAGCGTGCAGACCGCGGCTCAAAATCTACCTTCAGTTTTTGTCATTGGACCGGCTCCTGTGACACACACACACATTTACACACACACACACATGCGGACTTGCCTGTGCTGCTTGCACCAGCAGCCTGCCGTTCTGTGAATGACAAAGAAGCTCTTCTGTCTCCGAGGAGTTAGATCAACGAAGGAAGGAAAGAAAAAAAAGACGAGAGAAGGAGAGGAGGCAAGGAGAGAAAGTAGAGCCTCTTGCATGGTGTAGTGTCGGAACGGTCGGTGTAGGTACGGTTCGGTACGGGTCGGACTGGTTGGTTTTCCACTGATGCTCCCAGTCCGGTTCCAATGGGTGTGTTTTGGGCGGTTGGTGGAGGTGGTTTTTAGGGTTTTTGAAAAAACTTTAATGGGCAAAATGAGAGATGGAAACACACACTGCAAAAACTGTCCACCTAACCAAGTTTTAAAATCTTATATCAGCCAAAAAGTCTTTTTGATCTTGTTTTGAGACTGATTTACTAAACAAGAACTGATTGTGTAAGAATAATAACCTTGTTTTCAAAATGTGTAAGATTATTTGTCTTGTTAGTCTGAAAATTTGACTCAGGAAATACCAGGTAGAGCTCAGTTCGTGTTTATTAGTGGAGCTCAGGAATGTTATTTTACCCACAAAATGACAACATTCCACCACTTGGTGGTAGGGGTGTAAGAAAATATCGATACACTGAAATATCGCGATATTTCA